TAATGGTGTTCTGGGGGGATGTCCCCCCAAGAACACCATTGGGTTCCCAAAATTTATATTTCTCAATACTGTACAGCACGATGCAAAAATACTTATTATTTGGCAAGCAAAACTGTTATCTGCATATCCCTTCAATTTTTTTATTGAGAGTGAGCTCACATTTTACTCAGCTTTAGTGGCAGGGGTAGGAAGGCTGATTTCAGTGATAACATACATGATTAGAACTACCAGGCACAGATTGTAAATTTGAATGCCCCTGATTTTTTTTTGCAGCGGTAAAGCTCCAGTCCGATCACTGCTTGGACCCAGGGATTCCAGTCAATGGGCTACGATATGGGAATGATTTCTACGTGGGGGCCCTGGTGACTTTTGGCTGTGATCCAGGGTATACCTTGAGTGATAGCGAAGCTCTGGAATGTGAGCCAAATTTTCAGTGGAGCAGGCCTCTTCCAAGCTGTGAAGGTAAGGACCTAAAACTGGAAGGTCAGGAGCTGAGGAGAAAAGGATATGCTGTGCTAATCTTTTCATCCCCAAGATAGCCAAAGTCCCAGGTCCAAGATCTCTCCAATGTGGTGTCTTCCATGTTGCTGCATTCTCTCCTTCCACCTCTAAAACAGTTGATCTCATCTGAGTTATATCTGGATATCTGCAATAGACTGGCAAAGGTCTTTTATCTTCTGATGTTTTTATTGTTTTATTTTTTTATAAAGTAAGCTGCCTAAAATCTGTGGAATAGGTGGCATACAAATGCATGTAGGTAGGTAGGTATGTTTTTATGTCAGGATGCATAAATAATCTGCTTCTTAAGCTACTTCCTTAGAAGCTGGAGGTAAAGACCTCTCCTCATGGGCTCCTTGTTCTTATCTGTGGAAGCCCAAAAGGGGTAGCTGCTTAACTGACCTCCTTCCACAGTAGCTGAGAACTTCCTATCCTCCTTCAGAGGCCTTTTCTAATGGAACGTCAGATATTATTGCTAGGGTCTTGAGCCATGATATACAAGCTAGCTAGGGACAAGCAAGACTTCCAGTGACATATTCTAATGTTCTTTGAGCATCGGTTAAGTAGCTGCAAGAGGATATCCCTATACAAAGGTTTCAATGACATGCTTATCTTAGAATAACTTTGTAACCAACAGCAAGCCATCCAGATGTGCTTGGAAAAGGAGGCAGAGTAAGGGATGATGTTTATGTCTTTGCTAAGCAGGCACACAACTTCACAGCTGGGACCTCTAACCTCTGCCTCTCTTTTCCTGATGGTTTTCAGCTCTTTGCGGAGGCTATGTCCATGGATCTAGTGGCACTGTGTTATCTCCAGGCTTTCCAGATTTCTACCCCAATAACTTAAACTGCACTTGGATTATAGAAGCGTCTCATGGCAAAGGTAAGTCCTGTGATTCTTCCATGCTTCCACCAACCCTCCATGGAAAGTTAGGAGGATCTACCTCCACAAGTCTGTAGACATGCTCCTCAGAGCAGGCACAGAAGAAGAAAAAAAAAAGGGGGGGGGGAGGAATGATTGCTATGCTATGTTCATTATAAAACAAAGATCCATGGAGGCAAAGTTGAAGTTGAAATAGAAAAATTGAGAAAAAGAAGGCTGCTATTCAAATTTAGCTCTAGAGTATAGATTAGATCCACTTTCTCTCTTTTGATGATTCTCTCACATCATTAAGGAAGCTCCACCCCTATGCGTCTTTAGACCCTTCCTATAATCTCCTGTATTTCTAAGGTAAGTGGCAGAAACACCCCTAGAACCTCCAAGGTGCGCAAAAATGTCTCTATAGTCACCTGCCTTGGTGCTCATCAGGTGCATTGGTGATTAAATAATTAATTAATAGGCAGCAAGCAACATTGCAGACGTTCTTATTAATAGGCGCCTGTAGAACCCACAATATGTCCCTGCAGCCTGAAAAAGTTGGATATCCCATAGACAGACATTATGCTTATTGTTATATGTATTGAACCGCTTTTTTTTCCTTCCTGCCTCCTAGCATTCTTTCCTATACCTTCCTCCTAGGTCACCTCCAATCCTCTTTCTTTTGCCCTGGGATGCCATTTCAGATCATGTCACACTTCTTTATGCCTATATATCCCTGGTGTGCATTTTGGCAGAACACAGATCTCCTAGTTTTTTCCCCACCTCATCAGATAGTCAGAAGCTGTTTCCTGCTTCCTCACCTGGTTCCTCTGTTCTTTCATAAAGTAGAATTTAAAGAAGTGTGGCTCCAAAGAGCTGAGAAGGAAAGAGAGAGAGAGGGAGAGGGAGAAGGAGAGGGAGAGAGAGAGAGGGCACAAATCGTACATTAATTTTGAACTTCCTTCCATAGCTCAACTCTTCTAGTCTGCTAGGAACCAAGACAATGGGAACCACTATCAATCAGTTCTGTGTTGCCAATTGTATTAAGGTAGATAAACCTATTGTTGAAAAGCGCAACACATTAGTGAAAGAGTTACATGCTGTGCAAGGTATCCCACAGAGCAGACCAATCTACTCTTCATTAATCCTCTCAGCCCTGAAATCTCTCTTCTGATGAGAGGCTTCCCATTATTCCACTGCAATGCTTGTGGAATACCACACCGAGCCCGATACTCTCCCCCTAACATGTTATTCACACGGAGCCTTCTTTTTGTTTAGTTCAAAGTGTGGCTTTTGGCCATGCTTTGCGAGCAGCATTTGTAAGATGCGCAGGGCAACTTGCTTTCATGGCACCAGTTCTATAAATAGTTTATTTTGTAAAAGCTAGGGTCTCTCTGGTACCAACCTTATGGGGTCAGAATGCATTATGAGAATGCAGATAGAGGGCTGTGATCTGCCTCCATGGAAGAGCCTGGCAGCAATCTGAAGATGACAGTAAAGTCAGAAACAGAGCAGACAGGCAGGTCCAGTCTCTGATCCAGATCATGTAGCAAAGAATTATTAAAGGCTCTGGGCACTTCCAAGCGGGCCAAGATAGAGCTCATGCAAAGCGTCGTCGGATACATCATGATTTCAGGACCCTGGACAGCTATTGGGAGCTTACAATGTGTTTTAGCTCCAGGTTTCTCCTTCCTTCCTTCCTTCCTTCCTTCCTTCCTTCCTTCCTTCCTTCCTTCCTTCCTTCCTTCCTATTTATTTATATATCAAATTTGTCACTGCCCATCTCATTAACAAAATGACTCTGGGCAGTTTACAGAAAAGATAAGTATTAGTTAAAAATACAATAAAACAGTAGTCCTAAATAAATAGTAAGTATATGCCAAGGATTGATGATAACTAGAGAGTATTAGGCTCGGGGACCATCATCAGGGCTCCAGCCACCCCCAGGGTTGGTTAAAACTCTTCTTGCCCCACTCAAGCTGGCAGAGCCAGGTCTTTAGTTCTTTCTGGAAAGCCAGGAGGGTAGGGACCTGCCGTACCTCTGGAGGTAGAATATTCCAGAGGGTGGGGCAACAGCAGAGAAGCTCTCCTCCTGGGCCCTGCCAGCCTACATTCTCTTGCTGATGGGGTCCATAACTGCTTTCTCTGCCTGACTGGGTGGGACTGGTTGATGTGATGGGGGTGAGATGGTGATTTATACTGCAGCCAAAATTCCCATATGATATGCTGACTGCATTGGTGGGCAGGAACTGGGCACCTGAGACTCTGACAGCAAAAGCCCTGATTCCTTTGGAGATCATGCAGTTCAAGGTGTGCTGATTGTTAAGGGCTTTTCATGTATAAGAGTTTCTGATTGCCCAACTGAAATTTGCCATTTTGGCTGGAGTCAGTGCTGCATCACGACTATTGATACAGCACTAGCTGGCCCTTCCATGCTGGTGCCTGGATGTTGTCTGTAGGGCCAAAGTATTCACCTAGTACAGCATTTCTATTGGAGTTTGGGAGTCACAGAAAAAATAATAGCAGATGTACGATAAGCTCACATCAGGGAAAAAAATGGTGATTAAAGTATCTAGAAGCAGGATTGCATCAGGATCAAGATAACGATTTGGCAAGACAGGTTTGTTACTACCTCAGGGAATTCACTATAAATCATGCTTCCTCAATAGTTTTATTAAAAATGTTGTCTCAGGAAAAAGCTACAGGCTTTTGAAGAGCAGGTCCTCTGGCTTCTGCAGAAAGGATTGGAGACACAACTGGGGACCCATATCCAAAGCCCAAAGCAGGTGAAAAGTCATCTCCTCAGACTGGAAGGGCACTGGAAGAGACCTGAAATCCTCTGCCCATTGGGGGAAAAAATGTGTATTTGTTCATGATTTGGAATTTCTTGGGATGGTGGGTTCAGGGCTCATGACATAACTAATGTCAACGGAAAGGTGAGGCAGAAATCTTTATTTTATCGGAGAAGAGGAAGGAGGATACATCTGCCTTTGACCATTTGCTGTGACAGGTTAAATGGAAAGTGCCCCCCCCTCCAAATGACTGCAAACTGGGACAAACAATGGGAAATCTTGCGTGCCTCCATGCCTGCTTTCCCTGACCACTTTTCTTACAAACGTCCTTGGATCTTTGTGCCCTCCCCCCAGTGACATGAATTGGTTCCAAGGGACCAGAGTCTTAATGGAAGAAATGGTTAAGCCAAGCCCACCTTACTTCTTCTGCAGGGACAAGCAAAAGCTGTAGGGTAGCCCTGCCATAAATGCAACCAGCAAAAAGATCTGCCCTACTGACCAAGCAAGAAGACTTGACCATGCAAGACTCCTGATGTTATCTGTGACAGACTTGATTAATCACCAGTCTATAAGAACTGAGCCGTGAGCAACCTCCATAAAATTCAAGCAGTCAAGCCAAGAGCAATAGCAGGAGCCAGAAAACAAACCAGAAGTCAGTTGCCAGGAATGAGTAATGACTGTTCATTCTTATTACAGTAGATGTGGGTTCATTAACATCCTGGTTAAATAGAGGCATAAGAGGAGATGAAAGCTCAGCACATGCAAAGTCATATGGGGCTCTCCTCTGTAGATCAAATCTCCTTCTGGAATATTGCACGGTTACTTATGGATCAGATCATCTCATATTCTTGATGCTGTGTTTGCTCTTGAGTGCAAATGAATGGTTGAACTGAATCTCCTGAATAACAATTTTGTCTGGATGTTTTCATCTTCCTATCTACCTTATCCAGTTTCAGTTCAGGCTGATTCTTCTAAAGGAAAGATTTTGTACAAGTGTGCATAATAGTCAGTAGCCAAACTTTCAAAACTTCATGAAAAGGTTGTTCAGGTTTAATCATTCTCAAGACATGACAGACAGAGCCCAGAGTCATCATAGTTCCTCTTAGGCCTCTGTTTTCTAAGATAAAGGTCTCTATTTCCTGAAATAATGAAGGACTCCAAAATATGTATGGTATGCCACTGATCAGGAGGTTGAGTCATGGTTTCTTTTGGTTTGATACATTTCGCTGCTTGTCCAAGGAGCTTCTTCAGTCTAGAAAGTTGGTTGGGGGGACCCCATAAATGTCTTCCAGGGTGGCTGCGTTTCTCACTAACATTTCTAGGCTTTCTAGACTGAAGAAGCTGCTTGGACAAGCAGCAAAATATATCAAACCAAAAGAAAAAAAGAAGTCCAGTTGCCATGATTCAACCTCCAGATAATTCCACCTGGGTGACTGAGAATCTTCATCAACATATGCCACTGATCAGTTTAAACAACTTTTCATACCTTTATTCTTCATACTTTTTCTTATTACAGTCCAATACATTGGTCCTCTTATTCCCCTAGGTTGTTAGAAATGTCATCTACAGAGCCTGCTAAGATCCGTAGCTCTTTTCTCAGATTTTGTGGCTTGTTTCGTTCTTAGAGTTTGTCAGCTTCATTGTTATCACAAAAACTTCCAAGCCTTGAAAGTGGAGATAGGAGGAGTTGCCATACATAACGTTTGGCCTTGCACTATAGGCTAAACTAAAATGGGACAGAGTAATTTGTAGTTCAGCATGTTTTGGAAACCTAAGTTTTAGCTAAACCTAGTTTTAGCATATTGTTTGAATCAAGCCATCATGTCACACCATAATATAGTTTACTTATTTGAGAATAATATCCTATATAAACACAGCAGTTAAGTTTTGTTCATCTGGGGCTAGGAGTTAACATGTTGTGTGAACCCAGTCAGTGTCTTAAAGAAATTAGAACAGGTTCAGCATTGGGCAACAAGGACAATCAGGAACTAGAAACTAGGTGCTGTGAAGAGAGGGTAAAGGAGCAGGGCATGTTCAGTCTTGAGAAAAGACAGGTGAGGGGATATGAGAACACTTCTGAAATACCTGAAAGGATGTTTCAGAGAAGAAGGTCAAGATTTATTTGCTATCATTCCAGAGTGCAAGACATGGAAAAATAGATTTAAGTTACAAAATACACATTCTGACTGAATGTTAGAGGGGGGGAAAAAACTTCCTAACTGAAGATCAGTTGATAGTGGAACCAGTTACCCAGAGAGGTGGAGGGATCCTTTTTACTGGCTATGGTCAAGCTGAGGTTAGATAACCACGAATTGGAGATCTTTTAATTTGAATTCCTACACTAAGCAGGCTTGACCACTGAACTTTAGGAGTTCCTTCCAGCCCTAGATTCTGTCATTCTATGAAATTATCAGAAACTTGTTCTCTCAAGGCAAATAACACCCCCCACTGTTCTGCCTTGGGACAGAAATATTTTCAGTACTTTGGACTTGCTGTGTTCACCTCACCAAGGGGACTAGTTCAGATTATCCTAATCTACGTTGAGTTGATATGTAGGCCATAAGAGCTTTTCCTCCTCTTTTGCCCCACAGCCTGAACCAGACCAATAATTTGCTTACCTTCAGGACAAGTCAATGGAATTATCATCTTAACTATGCTTAGCAAGAGATCTTTACCAGCTTGGCTGCAGAGTATTTCATTTTTTTATCATTGATAAAAATATCAAAAAAGGATCCCACTGGTGGAGCAGTTTTGTTCTTTGCAAATTATTTTCTATTCTTCTTTCCATTTTAAATACATGCAATTTCAATAAGCTTGCCTTACATTCTTCTGTACTGAAAAGACAAACTGCACATCAGTGCAAATGCATGGTGAGAAGAAATTGGCAAAAGAAAAAGACGTTATTCAGCTCTGTCCCCATGAATTGGGGGTGACCAGTTTGGATCTATAGAATACCTGGGAAACCTTAACTGAATTAGGAAGCTGTGCAGCCCCAGGAAAATTTAAATACTGATTCTGACACATTGGTCCCTCCACTATTTAAAAAAAACCCTTTATCTTTTGCTCCTAGTTCTCTTGAAATTGAATCCTATCATGAAAAAAAAATGAAATCTAATCATAATAAATTGAAATCTACCTCTTGAAGTATTACCTGCTTTCTCAGTCTGTTGTTTTTCCTTAGTTTGCACAGCCTAACAGAGAGCGTGAGACACGCTTGATGTCTCACAGTTTCTACATCAGTATTTCTTAACCTTGGCAACTTAAGGGTGTGTGGACTTCAATTCCCAGAATTCCCCAGCCAGCATGCTGGCTGGGGAATTCTGGGAGTTGAAGTCCACACGTCTTAAACTTGCTCAGATTGAGAAACACTGCTGTAGAAGGACAGATAGAGGCTCATTTGCACATCAGGAATATCCGTGTCTCTGATCCAAGCTCTTTTTCTTACCCAGCTGAAGCTAAGCATGTTGCCTTCAGCTGCTCTTATCCCCTAGAATTAAGTTTCTAGCCTGCTAAATCTTCTATTATCAAAGCCTTGAGGCTCTTGGCTTTGCTTTCAGTATACAGTTGTTTGCAGTTAGCAGTCCCACTTCATGGTAGTCCCTGGGTGCTGATCAGCTCTTAATAAGAATTGCATCTCTGCTTCGTCAGCTGCTGTTTGAACCTAGATGGACCAATGTTCTAAATCTGATATGCTCCTTCACTCCTGGATAATCTCCACCCTTGAGTACTCCTTCTGAAAATTACATCATGAACTTAGGTGGAAAGAATCGTGTAAGCAGACCCCCTGCATTCAGACAGTATTGAATGAGAATCTGGGCTATGGAGACATTTATCTCCATTTAATTACACAACATTCAACGTTCCCAAAACCTGACTATTACATAGGAGAGATTTCAACATTCTTGGCAAAAAGTAGTGTGATGATAGCAGGCAAGGTAAGGGCGGGGGGAGTCATAAAATAATCCTTTCCTGGTGTTAAGTAAGGTTGGCCTTTTGGAATAATGAAGAAGGGGTTTGCAAAAAATGCAAAAATCCCTTTGTGTATCAATATATTTTCTTTACCATCCGGAGAGTTCGGCTTCATCTGCCTCCATTGGAGCTTTTTCCTCCTCCTTCCCTGAGTGATCTTGGCCGATCAGGGATCACGTGGTGAGCGAAAAAAGGTGAATTGTGTGTTGGAATCTGCTGATCCCCACTTTTGTGAGGAGAGGGAATGGATGCCCATAAATGTCATTTTTCTGTCGCAGCACCAGAATAATGGAGCTCTTCCTCTTGAAATTCAGTCAGCTCCTACCATACAAGGCCTTTAGACAACTGCTTAGAATTGTTTCAGTTTTTTGATGCTTCAGTGATTCCGTCTTCATTCTTTGTCTTTGGCTGGTTCTTTCTATGATTTTTATTTTATATTTTTAACATTTTATGGCTTTTTAAAGACGGTCGATTTAACATATTGTACCATGGATATTTTAATGGCAGGATTAAAATCTCTTGATTGTGGCAAGTAAAATAAAATAAAAAATGAATTGATAAATGAGTGAGTGAAGTCCACCCTCAGCTGCAGACGCTTTCTGGGTGACTTTGGACCAGTCACTCTCTCTCTTATAAGGCAATATAACAGGTCAAGTCTGGCTCTGTTAAGATGTCATCCATAACTGATGGGTGCCACTAAATATCTAAATAAATAAGCGAGCAAGCATGCATTCACTTCATTATTTATTCTGCAGTTTTTTAATGGTTGCCCACCCAATCAAATAACTCTGGGTGGTCAACAAAGCATAAAAACAAAACCATGCATACAGAAGAATAAAAAGAACAGTGAAAAACACCAGATATAAAGCCGTCAACTCCTCAACCAATGCAGAGGAAAATAACAATTTGTCAAACAATACCGGATAGAAAGAAGAAATGTTTCTGACAAGTTTCATCGTGCATGCTCCAATGAATAGCTTTGACTTAGCACAAGATTTGATTGTAATGTTAACATGTTTCCTCCATTCTCTGCTTTTGCTTCATCTCTGTGCAAGGGAACTCGCTTCTGTAAGTTATAGACTAATGAGCTGTACCATTACGCTTAAAAAATAATGTTTTTTTTCTCCTTAAAGTGCTTCACTAAAAAAAAAACACAATTCCAGTATATTTGTAAAAGATGTAATCACTCAAAAACCCAGTGTAAGCAAATCCTCTTTCTAGATCCATTTTGGCTAAAAATAGAAGACATGGCTGAGGTTCAGCTAGGGATTGAGGGATCTTTTTGTAATGCCAGATGCCCTCATTTTGGAGAGCAAATCAAAAGAAGCAAATACCATGAGATGTATATAGAATCCTACCCAGTAAGATTCTATAATAATTTCAAATTTACCATGGCAAGATTACAGATCCAATTATATCTCAGACATGTGAATTTTCTCCATGAAAAGTTCTGCTCCTCAACAACCGAGGAAATCCCGTAGTGATCAATTTCAGCATTTACTAGATAAGGTAGTTCATAAACTAGATGAAATAACTACAGAGTTCTAAATTGAAGAAACAACAACAACAAACTTACAAGGAATGTACAACTCAACACACAAGAAATATCAAAGCTGAAAGAAGAACATGATAGCTTGAAATGACAGGAGGCTCAAGAATTAACAAACCAGGAAGTAAACAGACTTTGGAGATCTTCATTGATTGACTGACATGCCATCAAGTCATTGCTGGCTCTTTGTGACCACACAGATGGATTTTCTCTAAGATGATCTGCCTCTGACTGGTCCTTCAGCTCTTCCAGCAATGCACTCATGGCTACTGTAACTATCCACCTTGCTGTTGGTTGTCCTCTTCTTCTCTTTCCTTCCACCTTTCCCAGCATTAGAGCCTCCTCCAGAGAGCTAGGTCTTCATATAATGCTGAAATAGGTCTGGAATCCAGGAAAGACAACTAAACTTAAGTTCAGAGGTATCCCCAAAGATTTGGAATTTAAATTTAAATTGATTTATTAAGTTTAAAAGTCTTAAATGTATTAGAATTTAAAGTTTCTTAATATTGATGATTGTTCACTTAATATGCAAGTTACAGCATTGTCAGAGGGCATTTCTTCCAGTAGATAATTTTTCATTGTGAACTTCCACATAGAGCTAGGCAGCTTTACTGCATCATATTTATTAAAAAATAAGACCCCCTGAGTTCTCTCGGGCTGAGTCAATTTTCTGGTTTAAAGGTTTTCTACTCTGTTTCTTTTTCTCAAGTTGATGGTCCCATTGCCAGTTGATAAAACTTTGATAGAGTTGGAATTGTGTTGTGTGCTCTATGATTCCCACAGGGATAGAAAGTAGGCACACCATAATTGCAGAGTTCATGATGACTATCTCAGATTTACTGTGTTTTGTTCTGTTTGTTTTAATAGAACAGAATATATGCAGCTCAGGTTGAACTCTGGAGTCCTTGGTGCTCTCTGAGCTCGGTTATTTGCTTGCAGATGTTTTATTACCCAATGAAACATCTGCAAGCGAACAGCCACGCTGAGATAGCACCAGGGACTCCATAGTTCAACCCTGAGCTATATATATTTTCTTCTATTGAAACCACATATGGGCATCAAATGCTTCAGAAAACATGCAGGTGGGAGAACACTGATGATGTTACCTAGTCAGGTGATGAAACGTCTGCAAGCAAACAACCAAGCTCAGAGAGCACCAAGGACGCCACTGTTCTGATTGTTTTTAAAAATACGTTCCCAGCTTTCTATGGTTTCCAAATCTAGCTTGGGAAAGGAAAAGGACTAAACTGAAAATAATGCAGGGAGACACATAAAAGAGTCATCGGACAAGCACTGCTCTGATCAAATCTGGACCCTTTCCATTTCTCCCAACATGTTACTGCATTAATGCTTTAATTTTTTCTATGTCCCTTGTATCGAATCTATTTTGATCCTAAGGTTTCCAGTGTTAACGTGCTTTGTTGAAGTTTTGCATAACTTCTGATGGCTTTATTTATAATCCCTTCATGTTGTAAAGCTGATTCTTTGCCAGTTGAAAAATGCTATGGGACTTCGAGTTTGTGCATGGTGGAACTCAGTAGTTCTGTGATTTCTATTCTCTGATTAATTATGATCCAGTTCTCAGCAACATTCAGGTATCTTTGAAGTAACATATCTCTTGCACTGTATTACCTCCAGGTGTTTTCTTCACTTTCCACACCTTCCACTTGGAGAGTGGCCACGACTACCTGTTGATCACTGAAAATGGCAGCTTCAGTCAGCCACTGAAACAGCTCACTGGCTCCCACTTGCCTGCACCTTTTAGCGCTGGCCTCTTTGGGAACTTCTCTGCTCAGATCCGTTTCATCTCAGACTTCTCCATTTCTTATGAAGGTTTCAACATCACTTTTTCAGGTAAGGTCTGGAGGTCTGGGAAGGTCTGTGAATACCCCTGGACAGATCTTCTTTCATTACCGAGAAATTTCATTACTAAACTTCCATACATTTGAGATGAGAAAAGGACTTCTTGGGGAGACAGGTTTTAGATACTCAACATCCACTTGAGATAATAAACACTGAGCAGTCCTAGGCACACCTTGACCTGTCATAATCCACTTTATGACACGCAATCTTGGCCTGTCATAAACCACTTTAAATTGTGGATCTCCTCTTTTTACAACCATTCTGAGCTGTAGCAAAATTCTTTACATTAAGAACTACAGCAGAAGTTTGAGACAGTGGGTAGAATTGACATTTTGGCCACATGGCTACCACAGTGGGTTTAGTCAGAAAGCAGCAAATTACCAGAAGGCAGACTATTGAGATTATTCCTGACTCCTCTGTCTAATCCACCAGGATCTTTGCTATCAATTCTCAGCTTATTTTTGTCTCCCCTCTCCCCTACCAGCAAAGTGCTGGACTGCAACTTATTTATTTATTTGTTTATTAAATTTGTCCCCCTGCCCATCTCCCCCCAGTGGGGGACTCTGGGCAGCTCACAACACATTAAAACAATAAATAAATATACAATTATATTTACCTATAACTACCAAGTGTTCTCGTATTTCTTTTTAAAAAGTAAGATGATCCTGAAGGCTAGTGCATGTTACACTTTCCAGCATACCAACTTCATCTTAATTTTAACAACATTAACATTTTAAAATATATATTGCATCAGAGGGATCTATTGCCAGATCTAAGAAATAAAGCTTAGGGAAGCTGCAAGAAAAGATTGCTTCCATACTGGTCATTTTCTCCAGGATGGGCAGTGTTAAATTCAGTGTGTGTGTGTTTTAAATGAATGGCTGCCAATTTGTTCCAATCTAGGTCATGTTTTCCTATCTTTTTTCAGGCTTGATTGGTGGCAAACAATTCATAAACTATTGCAGCCCTACCTTGCTCAATACGTGTATAATGGTCTGATTTCCCATCTGCAGCCATAACATTATTTGTTTGCCTGTTTTGTGATCACAATTATAATATGTGACGAACACAGTGCTGATAAAATAGCAAAATGTTAACAACTGATTCCAGGGTCAGAAGATGCATTTTTTAAAGATGCATGGAAAAGAAAAGGACAAAAGGACAGGGAGTGAAAAGCTGGACCTTTGCAGTAACTGAGCTAAAATTTACTTCTGGCTAAAAATAGAGGAGACATTTCCCCAGTGGGATGGACACTACCACATTAATATGGAAGAATTAGCACTGCAAAGGCATAGTTTTATTTCTAGCAAAGCAAAATGTCAGCAATGTTAGCAGTGCTAGAGGAGAAGCAGAGGGAGGATTGCTCACTGAGGGAGTATCTACCATTTGCAGGCAGAAAGGCTCACATTTAAGGTCTTTGTTTTCAAGTAGGTCCGGGAAAGACTTCACAGTGAAACTTGCAGAGTTGCTGCTCAGTAGCATAGGAGAAATAAGCTGGATGGATCTTTTCCTTTCCCCAAAAGCAAAGTGGTGTAATGGTCTTCTGCTTCCAAGGCCTTTTCAGTCACAGGATAATTCTTGTCCTAGGAACCCAATTTTTTTTTTCAAATTTCCCCACCAAATTGGTAAGAGGGATGATTTCTTAGAAGTCCAGGGAGAAGAGAAATTCTCCAACAATTTCTGAAGAGTTAGACTCCATCCTTGCTGGGCACAGAGGAGCACTGCTTCTGGAGGAAAATCCATGGGAGGGGTTGTCTACAAGTTTCTTCTTTTGG